ACTGACATGCAGGTTAAAAAACCTGTTTAAAATACTGAATTGCCAAGACATGAACAATGTAAAAACACTTAGATATATATCATAACAATTAAGGCTGGTACGTTACTGCAGTAACTGGAGCACCTAGGTTAAAATGAAATGTAATTTATTTTGGATTTGGAACAAATAAAGAGTTAAAAAAAAAGGACGGGTAATGGCTGAATAGTCTATGCGGACCACTTGAACGCCATGGGAAAAGGAAGGGATTGGAGAGACCGGTTATTGAGGGGTTTTGAGGAAATGACACAGTGATGTTAAATGTAAAGAAACCGAAAATCCATCTCCCACTGATTCATCCTTTCACATATATACCAAATTGATATTTTAAAGGAATAATCAAAATAAACAAACAATACATGAAAAGGCTAGTTGCCAGTTGCCTCCCTAAGTGGACCCTCTGCATCCTAACTCTTCTGTTAATCCACTTAATGCTACTAGGCTGTCTAAATTTTCTTATTTAAGTTCGTTTGATGATTATGATATCTCTAGTCTAATTTAATAAATAATTGAAATCTCTAATCTACCTACCATGCTTTATTAAGTACCTGCACTTGTGAATGTAATCTAAAATTTAACGTGCTTAAAAGTTGTTTTTGACTTTGACCTATATTTAATATATATATATTAGTTCGTCCCAGGTGACACCTTCAAGTAACTAAAATGCTTCACTTTGAAGTTAGTTTCCTAGCTGAATTTTTAAATTACATAAGTTATATGCTTCAACTACGCTCACACGTTTCCACTATGTCGCACCACAAAAATACGAATGGTTATGTCACAATAGAAGCACGCCACAGTTGAAACCCCGAGCCATAGTTCAAACACTTATCCCAAATCAAAATGAAGCACATATAAGATTAGTTGCAATACCATGTACAAAATGGTGTTTAACATTGTTCCCTGAGTAATACATCAATGAAAACAACAACGAAAGCTTGTCACGCAAGTGGAAGGAGCACTGTTGGGCACTTTCTGAAATATTTCAATAGTATAATTCCCTTGCAAAACCCAAATAAATCTATCTGCGGAAAAATAAATAATAAGAGTGATTTGCGGCAAAACCCGCCAGTATCGCACCCAACGTCAGTGCCTATACGTAAGCGTACTACAACGCGGCTTTCAAATAAAGGAGTAACAAGTGTGATACTATCACTTCAGGCTAGAACTTTGGTTCTCTTATGCAATGGTTCATCAGAGAGGGGAAGCTCAGTAATCCTCATCGCATACTCATGACGCTATTCTGTCACGGCATGAGCCAACGATGCCGGCCATAAACCCACCGTCTCCAACGCTCCACGAAATCGCAAATGTGATGGTACTTGACGATCTATTCCAATGTATAATTGATTTCCAATGTATAGCAAAAATGCTAATGGGACTGTTATGCCGCACAGAGCCAACCTGGTCTATACAAGGTGTGGAGATCTAGCCCTCACGTATGTGTTGGTAGTGGGAAAAAGGTAAACATTGCGGCAGAGGATGACCACGACGTCATAGCAGTCGAAAGAAAATTTGTGAAATATGAAGTACAGCAAATTCTAGATATGTTTGCATGATGATTGCGCTTGCTTGTATGCTTTTGTAAAGTTTACGGAAAATATCAGCAGGCGTTTTGTATTATTATAGGAACTCCTTACATGGAAACGGGCAAAAACTCACAAGCAGGCTGCTTTTTCATGGTATACAGTGTGCTAATAAAATAATCAATACATTATCTCAACATTCAGTAGAAAAACATTCATAAATTTTGGCTTCATACAGAAATTCTATAATTCATATTCGATTTCCAATGCAAACGCTGATTGAAACAAACGTTATGACGTAACTACGAGCGTGTTTGAGCGTCGAAAGAAGTAAATCGTGCGAAGCCGACTGAAAGCCGAGTGAAAAACGAACTGCACCAATACGTACAGGCCATCAATTCCACACCTTGTATAGACCAGGTTGGCACAGGGCAGTATAATAGGCTTTTATATTTTGGTTGAACTCTACACTCTGAAAAATCTTCTCGTCCGATTTACGTGAAATATCAGGTATGCAAACAAAAATCAATATGGTGTCAACGAGGAAGCTGATGGAAGAGCTCCTTGAAGATTTAAAGTTTCCCAGCAGCTTACTGCAAATATTGGATGGTAATTTGATTTATTTACATTAGTAATTATGTGTAGCTAGCTACACCTGTTACTATTTTCATAATTTCAGCCGGAGGAATCGACATTTTGTGTCTGCTAACTGTGTCGGAAGATCAATTTATTCAGAGTTTAGATGCAGTTTGGAGCAGCTGGACTATGAGGACAATTCGTTAAAATCGTCGAATCTATTGATTCAGTCCTGGAGAAACCGATATGTAAGTATAAACAACAACAAATTTCAACACAAATTGCGGGTTTCAGGAGAATCTCCTTCCAATGATAAAATCCTACAACCCGATGTAGAACATGCCATCATACGAGGGAATGTTCCAATGACTGGGGAGAAGAGCCCGCCGTCAATTCACGAAATGTTAAGGACAGGGAGTTGACAATTCCACTCTCCCCATACAAATCACTTCAATTTGAGGCTAGTGGCCCCATCTCTACACAGAAAAAAAAATGTAATATCGATCAATGTTATTCAAGCTGATGTATGAAATAATGATGTAATAGCAAAAAGCAGATACAATATTACATCAATGGATGTAATTTTGTTCGCAAAATCGATGTACATCGTACAACGTTATATTACACAATCGATGGATTGACCTGGTTGCAGCAGTTTGGATGTAATATTCAACAACTTTTTTTTTCTGTGTACTCTTTGCATTTAATGTATTACAAATTTAATGGATTTAGCAAAAGGACTCAAGATTGCGAACAGCGAAATGATTTTTTCTTCGATGTTTGAACAAATATAAAATCAACCGGACTTCAAAGATTTTTAGCTTGACAATTTTCCTAGGCCATTTTTCGACATCTTAGGCTTGGACAAGGGGTAGGTCACTCCGCACACTAATCTTGGGTCATCTTTTTTGTCAGTGTGCCGATTGTGTCGGTCACAGAGCAAGCTGCGATTGTTTGTAAAATACCCATCCCGGCAACCCGGTATTTCTGACATCTTGAATGTTTTGGTTTGAAATCGCAAGGATAAATCGGATTGAGAATAGCGTGGGAAGTGGCGGGTGTGCGAAATGTTGGTGAATTAAGGGTACTAATGGGGTCTGATGAACTGCCTCTTTCTCTTGAGCCCACTCTAGAATCTACATTTCGTATTTATATCTATAAGTGAACTGCTGGTCTGAGTTCCTCTGGTATATTCAATTAGAGGATGTTCCGGAATATACAGTCAAACAGCACGTGATGTTGTGAACAACTTCAATGACAGTTGTCCAGCAGTGCTCCCATTTTATTTACAACAATCCAATGCCTAAGAGATTGTACCGAAGGTATGCCAAAGGTGTGCCGATGGATGTGCCGAATCTAATTTCGGCACAATGTGCTGAGTGACTTACCTCTTGGGCTTGGACAACTCTCCAGATCACGAAGTAAAAAAGCTAGGACATTGGTATATAAATTAGACATATTTGGAAATATCGTCAAATAGTTCGAATGGGCGAATGAACCCTCAAGTTTAAAATCTATATAATAAAAAAAATACAATATTTCTAAATAAACGCTTAAAAGAAGAGCGGCCTCGATTTTCTGAAACATGATTTTTAAAAACTAATGCATTTTCATTTGAAATGCAAATTATCTTGAAAATTAACCTTTGCGTCCCTGATTTATTTTGTTGTCCTAAATTGTGTTGTTCACGTGGCTCTAGTGTTCTCAATTTTTCCGAATCAAACCATAACCGAGAAATTATCAGAGTTTCATAAGCCATACTTGATGGGCACGTCGGATTAACGGTTCCGGATTTACACGGATATTCCTTAGGGTCTGTCCAATGGTCATGTGAGATATTTGCATGTTTTTTTTATACACTGGAGTCGCTTTTTACGCGGGGGTACGTACTCCAAATTGTCCAGGAGATCAGTTAATTTGTTCTACAAGATCAACCGAGACTGGTACAATGTCTGTAGAATCGAAATACTTCCAAACAGATTCACAGTGTCTATGTGGATCATGCTCGACCTATTTGCAAGTATTCCAGATGTTCTAGGTTCTCCAAATCGTCCTGGAGTTCAGATGATTTATTCTAGTAGATCAACCAAAAAGGTTTGTTTACATTTTGGCTCTTCCGCCCCTTTCAAATGTTAGTCTAGAATTGATCAAAGTTGACCATTTCGTATGAAAATCGGCATGCGCTGCTATTTTATCGAACACAGCTGTACATCAATTTTGCGAAGTTCTACGTCATACTGCGGTTGTGTCTAGGACATAACCCTTTAATTTTTTAAATATTCAACATGATTACGACGTTCTTGCACATCAGTACTTTTAACCCTCCTAATGCTGTTTCCAGCCAATGCACTAGGGCTGTGAACCATTTGCCGAGTTAAATTTAACTCGTGGTTAAAAGTGACATTTCGAAAGTTATTTTCTATGTTCGAAAATCCCTGTGCTGTCGCTCAACCGGTTTTCGAGCCACGGTTGTCAAAATTTAACTTCTTGTCTGTCAGAAATAACCATGCTCGGATAGCAGGGTTAATCGATAACTTTCCATCTGTCAAATTTTAACCAAAAGTTAAAATAATCCACCAAATGGTTCAGAGCCTAGGAAGGTTAAATTGAAAAAAAAAATCTTCCTTCAAAATCAATGGGCAATGATAACATTGCAATAATTACAATTTTATCCCTGAACATTGATTTTGAAGAAAGATTTTTTTGCCAGTTTAACAGTAAATTAAAAATAAGTACATATTACTGAATTTACCTCTCCAAACAAAATGTTTTATTTATTTAAATTTAACTTCGGGAGCATCCCTATCACGCAACTCACTGTTGAATGTTTTGAACCGACCGAAAGACAGAAAAACCTCAAACCTTTTGGGCTCTCTACACCAACACACGGCCGCCAGTGGCTATTAGTGGCGACCACAATATAACAACAGGACGTGGCTGGTGCTGGTGGCGACGTGCGGGTGGAAGTGAATTGAAGGCACGCAAGGTGCCTGCTGCTGCTGCCGCAGCGACGAGACGACGGTTTGTTGCTGTTGCTTTCTGCGACGGCGGACGGTTCGATGGGAGAGAAAGAGAACCAACTATTATAGCCGCCACGGTGGACTGCGGAGCAATAAAAAAAAACTAAAACTAAACTGCGATCGTGTCACTGGAAACTCACTTTTTCGACACGAAATCCGGCCAAATTTTCACTGCAACACTACAAAAACACTCGCGGATACATTCACGCACGATTTGGTACCGGTTTTGGTTGGTTTCGAACGATTTTACCACCGAAAAGCAACGAAAACAAATTGAGCAACAGATTCAGACGTCTTCCATTTTCAAACAAAAACTCAATTTTGACGACAGCAGCAAATCCAACCGAGAAGAAGGTAGTTCAAGCCGGAGAGAGAACAGCGGCCAGAAACCGTTCGGAAGTGCATTGGTGTTGGTGAACGGGAGAATGTTATTCTCCGGAATGAGAGAGGAAACGTGAGATTTTAATTTGTCGGAGTTCGGTAGGGTAAGTAGCCGGCAGCTCCAAGCACGCTAATAATCAATAACCCCAATAACGCAAATTTAGGTAGATCGATTTACCATCCATCGATTAGCTTGGGACCGAAGATAGTATCAGAGCTGAGCCAAAAAGTTGAGCACGTTTCTTCGGGACCTACTAGTCTTAAGGGCCACCCACATTAGATCGGTTTGCGTTGCGTTGACGTAAACTTGACGGTTTTTTTTCATTTCGTCTATTTGGAAGGCTCAAATGTTATAAAAATAACTTAGCGGAGCCGAGTACATAAAATACCAATTTTGGTACTCAAAAAACAAAAAAATATATATAAAAATGCATTTTATCATAGGATTTTTCTGGGTGGCGATCGAAGCGGCGACAAAGCGATCTTCTCCCGTGCACGCAACTTCTTTCTTTCCCGAATTTGTTCCTCATTTTCATTGAACCCGAATCGTGATCGCTGCTGCTGCTTCTGAACGTCGTTTCCCGTTGCATGCTCTCCGCTACTCTCTTCGGTCGTCGGGGTCGTCACGTCCATTTCGTTATTTTCATTCAGCATCTCCAACCTCGTGTCCGTTTCCTGGTCGCTAATGACTAGCGACGCACCTTCCACCACTACACCAGCATACGTACTGCTGCTGTTTTGTTTTCTTTCACTTTGCTGCTTTCCTTTTTCCTTAGGTTGCTTCTCCGCTTCCTTCCCAGCCTTCCGCATGGGACAGGAAAGCTTCCGGTGTCCGTCCGCCTTGCACAGAAAACATTTATCTTTGTTGCCATCATAAAATATATTTCCTTTGCGATTGAAGAAATGTAATGACGTGGGATTTCCTTCTTCACATCCATATATATACCGCGTATCCCTGTATATACCTCAAAACACAGATCAGATGGAAATTTCTCCCGGATGATGCGTTTAATTTTTCCATATTTCCCCAGCACTTTATCCAGCTCGTTGTCGGGTACCTCTGGTGGCAAGTCATACACACGCACATATTGAATGTATTCACGCAGAAAAATGGATTTTTGTTTCAGGGCCTAATGTATTTTGTTATTGATTCAAACATATTGTATCACTATTTCAACGAAACATATTTTTGAATCAACAAAATGGTTTTTAGAACCAACAAACAGATTATTGACTCTACAATTATTGATTCAAAAATACTTTTCTTTGAATTAACCGAATAATATATTTGAATCAATACCAAAAATATATTAGGCCCTGAGCCAAAAATATATCCATTTGAATTTAAAAATCATTTCTCTGTGTGTTCACCAGCATGCGACATGCGTACCTTTGCCGTCGTTCCATTCGCATAATGGAAGATTAAATCCTCCGAATTGAACGTCAGAGCATGGAGCATCGCTTCCTCTGATTTGAACTTGATGAATACTCCCCTTTCCTCACCAATGCGATAAATAGCTTCCATTTCACTTCGATCCGCGTCGAGTGCTTTGGCGAAATTTACAATCTCTCCGATGTTTGGTTTAGCATCAGAGCCTTTAGAGTTACCTCTATGGTTATACCCAGGCCAGTGACAAGGCCTATACCAACAGCAGCGTTTGACAGTAGACAGCATGCGAGGGGCGATCAACTTCATTAATCAGCTGAATTGTAAATACACATTTAAAAAAATACATACAAATACGTTAATGTGTAAACGTTAAAACCAAAATACCTTAAATAAAATACTCAAGTGTACAATCGCTACTTTTTCACGCAAGAAACAACCAATTTTTTCAACTACAAACTATACTATACTATGCACGACTATCGAACGGGTGCATTGCGTGAAAGACCCAGGCGTTTTTTCTGGACTCACAGCTGACATACTCACACCATATATCGTATGTAGTCGACAAAGTGTCCAGAACTCTTGGCTTTGTCTTCAAGATTACTAAGAACTTCACAGATGTTTAGTGCTTGAAATCACTCTATTGCTCCCTCGTACGATCTTCGTTGGAATACTGCTCTGCAGTCTGGAGCCCGAACTACAATAATGGGGCCGAGCGAATTGAATTTGTGCAACGAAGTTTTCCTGTAATACTATACTGAATAATTAAAAGGCATTGGACTTCACGAAACCTACATAATAATGATTTATTCTGGCAAAAAAAAATTAAGTCTTTTTGTTCTCTTAGCATAGTTTTCTCAAATACTAATTATCCCGCGCACAAATCCAGGGGCATCATCATAATGGACGAGGCCTGCTCCAAATGTTCCCACCAGGAAACTCATGTTGACGCCCCGCGCATTGCGATCTGACGGTACCTGACGTGAGCTTCCCCTTTGAACAGGGCCGACAGTATCTCACGGAACAGCTGCACGGCCTGATCCAGATCCTGCTGTGGACAGACGCTCCCATAGCGCTGGATAAACTGCTGTAGAGCGTTCAACTTCGCCGCACTGTTGGTGTCCCGATTGTTGATCACCGTAGACAGCATCGTCAAGTGGTTCTGAGGGATGTTCAGAGGCTTCCTATAACTGGCCATCCATGCCTCACGCTTGGACAGATTGCAAGCATCACAAAGGCATGTGATTTCCATCGTTTCAAGCGTCCGTGCTCGCACGCCGTCAGTATTTTCGCTGAACAGAGGACCGTAGGAGATTGTGATTTGTTGGTTCTTGCGTATGGGACAGAGGACGACCAATTTCAGATGGCCGAAGGCGGACAGGGCCAGCGCATTCGGGATACATGAATGATTACACAGCGAGGCGAAGGTATGCAGTTGGTAGGACACATCGTTCGTCTGAAAGGTGGTCAAAACAAAGGCCGTTCTCATGTAGTCATGTAGACACTGGAGCATGAAATGCCGTCGTGCTTCGCTGTTGAATAGTGTCTTGACCGGTGGGTGTTTAATGAAAACCGTGTAGTACAGAGCGGCTTGGTATCGAATAACGTAATCCATTCCAAGCACGATTGGGAGAACCTTCGTTCTGTGGAAGGTTTTGAAATCACGCATTGGATCATCCTCGGTGCAGTCCAATGTAAAGGGATCAGTAATAAGTTTTTCTTGTTTTGCACAGAAATCCATCATTTCCTGAACGTCATCTCGAAACAGGGTCAATCCAAAGAACAACATTCTCGGGCCAATGTAGCTGTGCCCGTACGAAATGTGATTCAGTTTTTCGACAATTCCACACTCAAAACGGTGGTTCGATTCCAAGCTCTTCTTCAGGCACTCCTCGTCGCAGTACATCACCGACACACAATGTGGACAGGGAATCAGAGCGTGGTAGCTATCGGATGTGCAATAGTTGCAGCTCAAGAACTTACTGCCGCTATTGACGGAGGCCATTATCATTTTTTCATTCAGAATTACATCTCCGGTTTTGAAATTCTTCTCAGCCACCAGGCTTCTTCCGTACCCAGGGAGCATCTTCATGGAAATCCCTTTAGCAATGCAAGGAATCTTTGGGTTCTTTTCAATGGTCATTTCAAATCTGGTACACATCGTAGATTGCCTCGATTGGCCCTTGTCTATCCTCTCCCTACAGCTCGCCTCCCGAGCTAGCAGTTTTGGCATCAAGCGCTCCGGATAGTTGTTCTTCTTGGCGAGCATTATGTTGACCAGTGTCAGTTCATACTCTCCCGTATCGTAGTGCAAGGCTGACCTGTAAAATCAATTCCTATTTTGAATCATTCCTCTTCAACTTGCTAGAATGCTTACCGATTGGCAAAACCAATGGCCAGATGTTCCGATCCGGTTGTGGCCCAACAGATGCACTCGTTGTACTTTTTCAGCGCTTCCGAGTAGGACTTCTCCTTGTAGAATCGATTGCCTGCCAGACGAATTTGTGCTGCTTTTTCGTCGTTCTTGAGCAATTCTGGGACGTCAAGTGTTGGTCCTTTTTGGCGGATATAATCTCGACAAGCTGCAACGCCTGCAGCGAGAACATGCGGTGCTTTATCTTTCACCTCCGTGTAATACTTCATGAGAGGCCATTCATTGTTATTCTTTACGTGCTCCTGAAATTTGGCATCATCTTCCAGCTGGTTTCTTGCCAACCGCGCGATCTGTTCCGGATGAAGCATCGTGGTGCGTCGTTGGTGGCGCTTGATTAAAAAAAAAAGTTAATTTATCAATATAATAGGTATTTACCGATTAATAGAACTTTAACTATAATATTAATAAAACTAACATAAATGATACGAATAATAACGCTTCAATTAACAACAAGAATCTAGTTTATCCAGCAACAACAACAAACAGTACAAGTTATTTTTTAGATTTTTTCAAAATCAAGATGTCCGTGGCGCGCCAAGCGAAAGCTCGATGTAGAATTGAGCGATCTTGAATCTAAGTTTGGAAAATCAAGCTTTTTTCAAAATAAATTAATGTTTAGGCTGTGTTCCATTTTAGGTGAATTTTCACTTAAATTTGACAGATGAATTTTGACGTAGAACTACGTCTTTGTCGACTATACTGGGGTGCAAATCAAAAAAATATGTGTGGTGAAGGAGTGTTAGGTTTTGTACGCTTGTAGCTTTGTCATTTATAGATGAAATTAAAATCCAAATACGCCAATCGATAGGATATTACATTACGAACCTGCTGAAATAAATATTTTTCCAATTTTTTTTTTTCTAATTAAACTATTGAAAATGTACAAATGAAAATTTTATCACTATTTTCATGAAATAATTTTTATATACATTATTAAGGAGACTTTCAGCCCTGGGCTGGTTCGTCTCCCATTCATGAAATAAGCCTTCCCGCATAAACGCGAACCATAAATTGACCTTTCCTAAAATGGTTGAAAATTGTTTATAATCCCTGCTAAACTTTAACTGAAATGGTTATGGAACTTTACATGAACGTTTAATGATAAAGTTTCAACCTTATGTATTATGGTTTTTTGGAACTGGACCTTACAAATAATGGGTTGTTAAGAACCATTACCATTCCAAATCCTTGTTTTCTCCATACATTTTCAGAAAGAGAACTATATAAGAACGTTTTTACTTATGATTTGAGAACATTAATGGTAATGGTTATAATAGTCAGTAAGGTCCATTAATGGTTTTGTATTATCGCTCAACTTTAAGTGGAATATATCGTGAATTGGTAATCAGTAAATTACAGGCAACCAAATTTGCCAGTGGTGGCGGGGGGGGGACACCCCTCACCATCCCTCTCCAAAGGGGGAGTTTGGTAAAGAGAGATGAAAAAACCGATTTGTACCTTCCTTAAAAGTTGTCCTAGTTCGCTATTCTAATATCTATATACAATCTTCACACTGCCGTACTCTAACGGAACTATCAACTCTATGCTTTCATCTACTCCATCAATCGTATAAAAATTACCACTACAGTCTGTTATTTGAAATTAGCATCTTCAACTATATAAATTCAGTTTAGCCAGCACCACGCTAAGATGCACATACCTAAAAGTTGGCAAAGAATACCTAGATATCGGTAGAAATTACCGATAATCGAAGAAATTTCACATACCTAAATTATCGGTAATCATGGATTACCAATAATTAACGTTAAAAATTACTTAATTTACAGTAAAAATAGCTTCCAATCTTGCTTCCAATCTCCACCAAGTCTCGCCATGGATTCTCAAATTCGTTACACCCGTGACGGCAGTCGCATCCACATTTCCTCCCAGACGAATAACAGCTGACAGCGGTATCTTGACCTGACCGATGTTTCTGGCCATGGCTACACGGACTAGCGATGCAGCTCTCACGGCTGCGGCTGCTTCCAATGCTGCTGCTGCTTCCAATACTGCGGCTGCATCCAATGCTGCTGCTGCTGGTCCGTCTTTTCTGACGAATTTTAGAGGAGACGGACCAGCAGAAGGAACAGCAGCAGCAGCAGCAGCAGCATTGGAAGCAGCCGCAGCCATGTGAGCTGCATCGCTAATTCGTGTGGCCGTGGCCGCCGCTGGAAATCTCGGTCCGGTCACGACAAGCGGTGCTTGAGTTTTAATCGGAAAGTCAACAACCAAACAAAAACTATACCATCCGACCACTGCTCGAATAGTGGCCTGGGAAGCGATTGTTCTTGGAGGCGCTGTAGACCTTGAAGCTGATCAATTTTCCGGCAGGGTGTACGGGTTGGTGGACTCTGACAAGTAGTTCTGCTTGAAAAATGCAATTTGAATTTTGCTACCACCATTTCCATTTATTAAATGTTGTTCAAGCGCTGGAAGCTCCGTTCGACCATAGAGGTAACTCTAAGACTACTGGGTCCCGAAGAAAATCATTATTATTTTTGGCTCACTCAGTACCAGAACAACGGTCCCAAGCAGTCCCAAGCTATTTCACTCACCCCTGCATGTTCAGCATGAATCCACACACCCCTGATGTTATCTGTCAAACTTTCATAGCGAATCAAAACAAACATAGTGTAGTAATAGAATTTCAACTAGAATAGGGTACGTTAATCGTTTGCTTGGGACCAATAGGCTACTAAAGTGGTGAGCCAATTTAAAATCGTTAGTTTCGTATTGATTGTTGGTTCGACTGAGTTGACTGCGATGGCGTCTCCCACCAGGACCATGACGGTACCCTCTTTGGTCTTCAGGAAGTTTATCTTGACAACATTTCCATACAGGCAGAACAGATTGAACAGCTTATCGGTGTTGGCTGTGTTGTTATCGAATCCGTAGCCCATCATCACTGCGTACTGTTGCTGTGCCGGTTGAATGAAGTTGGCTGGTCCGTTTCTATAGTCGCTATATTCATAGTCTGGCGGATAGAATTTCAATATATCAAAAAGCGGAACCAATTCAATATGTTGTAGACCAACAATTTTTTTTTATTAATTACTTTATTTGTACAGGCTCAATCGAATAAACTTAACAGAGCTGAGTTATCATTTTCGTTATACATTATTGATGTCTTATATTTATAGTTAAAGGAACTGGACCTAGAGCTGGACCGGATACTCGCGGTTGTCTCGAGGTTAGTGGAGATTTACAATTTTTTTTGGATGGGAAAAGGGAGAGGGAGGTTTGAAATGTGGTTTACGATACAAATATTTAATTAATCCTAAAACTTGAACTAATTTCTATTCATCTTGATGATTAAAGGCGTATAAGAGCTACCTAATCTTACCCGAAAATCATTCAAAAGTCACGCTTTTGAAATTCATATGTTTTGTTCTTAAGTCGAGCCTTCTGAAATTCTTAAGTGCACAATTTTCTATAAACGAACTGTATCCCGGATGGGAAAACTATACCATAAATGGTTTGGATGATACCCCGAACACGTCGTTAAGCTCTCTTTTATGGTTATTTTTATTAGGGTAACGGAACTTGATTTACTCAACACGCATTATGCTCTAAAATGGAGCGATGGTTTTCAAGCTGTTAACAAATCATCTTTATTTTGAGTAATTTAGCAATAAAATTTTGTTTACAGCTTATTTGCGATGCAGCATTGATGATGTCAGGAAATGAAATGACTATATCTTATGAAAGTTCATCTAGAAAAGTCAAATATGTATTTATTTCAGTCTGATCATTAAATCGTTCTCCTCTTCAATTCGAAAGATTCATGCAGTGGTGACCTGTGGCGACAATTGCGCTGAGCTTTTACTGGAATCTCCCAACTGTTATACGTTATACTGTGTGGGCTGAAGTCGCAATAATTTTTACTGAGATCGCCCAATCATAAAATCTTTATAGATCTTTCTCACCCCTTAAAAGCTTTTGAATCCACCATGCGAACTCCGACACCGAGTCCGACGTACCGCGCCCTGCAGATCTGTCATCCCTTGGATATTTTTTGTGCGTTCTTGTCGTTCTTGTGTCACTTGATTTGGCCTCTGCGAGCTTGTTTTTCACCGTCAGCCAAAGCGTTTACAACACAGTGCAGCAGTCAAGCAAAATCTATTTTTATAATTACGGAATTAATCGGCTTCAGTTTTCCAGCAAACTTATCGCTTTTTGATACTGTTGCTGCTGCTGCTGCTGCTGTAAAAGAAGCCGAAAATAGTACCGGATTGCGACACGAGTGTGCTACGCAAAATCTGTGAATCATCCTTCTTCCAGTTGTGTGCAACGGGAGGAACGGCATAACCGGGCTGTGTGCAAAGGGAAACCCTTATTCGGATAGTGCATTTTTATTGGATTCCTTTTTCTGTCGTTGCCCATCGGTTTGTGAGAGATGCTAACGATTGATAAGATTAAGGAAAAGTATCCCATCCATTGGTTCGTCTGGAACAACGACTTCCGCGAGCTGCAGCAGGCAATCGATAAGGCCGAGGTAAGCTTCCAGCTTTTTCTATCGTTGGTTTTTGCACTCGATAAGGATCTCTGATTTTCAAGCGATCCACATCAGCTTCGCCATTTCTTCCTTGTTTATTAATCTAATTAGCTAGTGAAATATAATTCGATTATGTATACCACGCTAGTGTGCATGTGGGGTCCGGGAGGCAGTCGATGACCGCTCGTCCGTTTGATACTCAATTACATAAAATTCCACCCTGGAGTACCCTGCTGGAAGGCCGTAATCATTAATCGATTGTCGCATTCGCTCGTTCTTTGCAGCATGACCTGGAACAGCTGGATCCCCGGGGACGAACGCCGCTCATGCTGGCCGTCAAGCTGTGCCATCTGGAGTGTGTCAAGGCGCTGCTAGCGGCCAAATCTAATGCCAACTTTGAGTGCAACGGGTGGTCCGGTAAGTTGCGTGCTAAGCATCTTTGTATAGTCTACTGCCTATTAGGTATCATCTGCCTGCTGCCGTATAGCACAATAAATTCGATTATGTTAAAAAAAAATCGATGATAGGAGACATACCTACTGTTGCCAATGTTTAGGTTGTTTATTCTAACTGTGGAGATTTCCACATCAATAAAATAATAATGTGCATTGGTGGTCGTGTATCGGTCGCAGACACTCGGCCAGCTCCGTCCCATAAACGAACGAAGCGCGAAGGAGAAAACTGTTCAATATTTACACAAAGTTATCGTTCGTTGGCTTCGTTAGCGCAGCGCGTAAGTTTGAGATGTTTCGCTCGCTGCTTCAGCGATACGATGGGATGACAAAGCGCGAGAAACACAGCTGTTGTGATAATGAGCTAGGTGCATACCAGCGGGAAGGCGGGCCTCGGTTGGGTGGTGTGCCATCGAGCAGCTCTATTTTTGTTCTGTAACTGTAAATTACTGATAAGCATTTTGGGCGCGTAAGCCAATGCATTGTTAGTGGGATGTCAATCTCAGGCATATTTATACGAGAAACCTTCAAATTGCTGATTATTTGTGTTGCGCATTATCCAAATTATCCACAATTTCAATGTTGGTATTTTGAAATGTTTTGAGTGGGTAAAATTAGGGCGCTGTATGTGGTATTTGCGAATATTCACATCGGTGACATGGCCCCTGACCCCCTTGTACATCATAAAATGAAAATGAAAAGTGAGTCACTTTTTTATTTGAAGTACATACCTAATACACTTTGTTTTTTGCTTATGATAAACCAGCAAAACTGTATAACGAGAGATAAATCAGAGATTAAAACGAGCTTTTGTGATCGACGGAAGTCCTTTGTTTTCGTTCTCGGAAGTTAGTCAAACCATAAATTTTTCCTGCCGAAAATCAGCTTAAGCTATCGTTGGACCTTTTTTGGTCTGTTCTCCCGGATCACCGGAGGAATTTTGTGTGGTTTGCGGCATTCGCGACGTGTGCGATTAACTTCTTCTTCTTCTTCTTATTCGCATTTCAAGACTTATTGCTTAGCGCATATTAGCTTATTGCGTGCTCTCAACTTAGTGTTCTAAATGCACTTCCACAGTTATTAATTGAGAGCTTCCGATGCCAATACCAATGCATGAATTTGTATATTGTGTGGCAAGCACAAAGATACTCTACACACTTAATTTTTTTGCGCCGAGATTCCAACAGCCGAGTGATTTTGCAATTTATTTTGCTGAGATTTAGTAAAACAATTGCCGATACTCAGCTAACAAATAACCTTTTGCTGAGATATCAGCTACCTTACAGATATTTTGCAGAGATATCAGAAAAAGTAAATGCCGAGGTCGGTTGTTGGAGATTTTACCGAGCTAGATTAAGTGTGTATGGCGAGAAAATTTCCAACCCGAAAGATTCCCTCGACCGGACCCCATGCGACACAATTGGTCGCCATCTTGACGAAAAGTCGGCAAACGTTGCTGTGGCGTATGGACTTTTGCTAGCGGCAAGTGAATTCTCTGCGGGAGGAAAAATCGGTGCTTCGCCATCAAGTGTGTGCCCGTGGCACAAGTGTCTGGACGGTCGCCATCTTGGCGGAAAAACGTGGAGTCGAGTGCGCTCGGTTCGTTTTGTGAAAAGCTACGCCATTTTGTGGCATGTGTACTTTTGACAGATCACAGTAGAACTGGCAGTTTATTTTCATATGAATTTATGCTTTGTTTATGTTTACATTCAGCACCATTAACACCAGATCACTCACACACTCTAGATTTCTAGCTGTCAGTTCCACTGAGAAACGTCTCTTGGATCACCTTATTTGCAAGTGGATGCCATGCGGGGAACAAAACCAATAACATTTGAAAGTTTGTGATTTGGTTTGCCAACAAAGAGGCAGAAGAAAAAGTGAATGAGTGAAAGTGAGACACCTTGTGGGCCATCGAGTCGAGTGCCAAGGAGGATTATTCTCGATGTTCTCACGGGATTGAAAAGTACGGGTAAAGTGCCTACTATTGCCCAGCAAAAAGCCGCTCAACAGGCAGACAACGAAGGATGGAAATCAATCTGGAAGCCTTGCTGGATCGGCAGACGTTGCTGCTCGACAAGCTTTTACGGATGAATGAGTCTTTGCAGGAAGAGAACATCAGCGTTCATCTGGAGACTATGCGGCGAACTGCAAATGATTTTGAGAAAGCGTACTGCAAAATTATTAGGTTTTGCACCGTCGGGGTTAACCTCAATCTGATGACAGTTTAGTGGTACTGTTTACGTGGACTTAATCGATTTTTTCTTGGGTGGATTTCCTCGATAATTTTTCAGACTGCAGTGAGGTGTAAACCACACTTCTGCAATGTCCACGAGCAACATCCTTTCAACGCCGAGTTCAACGCACTGTTCCTCGACAAGTTAAAATTCGGAAATTTTAGAATATTTTTTTTTTCGAAAAAAGTAGAGGAGTCTGTGCCTAGGGGCACGAACGGAAGCTTGACATAGGACCGCATTGGTCGGTGCATTAGTTTTTGGGTTTGATGCTTTAAATTGTTCAAGATCTATAATTTTAACTCTATATTTTTTTATATGTGGTCCTAAAAAGGTTTTTTTATGTTTTTTGCTTATTTATATGGTATCCCTCAAATTATGAAAGTTAGCTTAGAGCTTAGAGTCTAATATAATTCCAAAATCCCTAACTCTTTCACATTTGTCTACTGTTTGATTTCCTAATGCAATTGAAATGTTTGAAGTTGTTCTTTTTCTACTAAATGATATTAAGTTACATTTTTTTACATTCAATTCTAGTAGACTTTTTTTGCACCATATGTAAAATATGTGTATTTCATAAAAAAACAAACGATTGCGTCCTCTGCGTAAGATGGCCGAAAGACGAAAAAGAAGGAATGGATGGTTTGTCCTTCAAAAAAAGCTAAGTACAATAGTTTTGTGTTGCGTTAAATGTAGAGGGTGGGTTTACTCGGGAATGGGATGCAGATTTTCCGGAAAAGCTGCAGCAATGTGGGTGACCTTTACTCGAATTTGGGTGGAATTTTGCTCATTTGTATGTGGATACACTTGTTGCGCTTTTTGAGTGAACTGATATGAGCACACTGATAAAATTTTAAAGATTATTTTTATGTGTCCCACACATGAATTTTTGAAATGTGATCAACGAATTTTATCTATTTGTCGGACGCATACTTAATATGTGTACACATAAAAACCATGTGTAACCAAACATACTATTCTTTTGACTAATAAATTTTATGTGTGCTTCTGGGTGGATTCTGTTTATGTGTGGTCACTTAAAAAGTCATGTGGAATTTCACATGGAAATTCGTCAATAAAAATGTGTGGAATTGTATTAGTGTAGCATTTTTTTGTCCGAGTATAGAATGGTAGAGATAGGCGAGACAACAACCAATTGAAGCGTTTGTTGTAATGCCATCTAGTGTCAATTTAAAAAAGTATAGATGTAATGATAGTACACGACTAGAAAATGGTTCCCAGCGACCAGTTCACTTTTCCTTACTTTTGATAGTTTGTCTCCTTTTCTCCTTCTAATGTTGCCAAAAACAATGAAAATTAATGAGATAAGATTTAATTTGTTCGTTTGTGGTTGTGTATGAAAAAACTGATTAAGGTTGTGTTGGTTCTGCCATGGTTATTGTATTTGGTGGGCTTGTTCCAGTTATGTCGCTTTCGTTATTGCGGTGTAGCACCGGTGTAGTGTAAACAGGAATAAGCACGAGTCTTTGACAGCTTAACATCATTAGTTTTTAAACAAAGGTGCATCCTATATCAACACCCTAAATTATTTCGGTGTACGGCAGTGTAGCACCGCAAAAACGAAAACGAAATAAATTTCGTATAATTTGAGTGCATCACATGAACTTAAGTTTACTTTAATTGATTATAATTCAAATTGAAAAGACATAGAGGTTTTGGGCCTACGGGAGAAGAGGTAGTAACATTATTTTCACTCCCGCAAGTTTTCCTCTCAATCAATAGAAAAAAAGATAAAACACAACATATTTCCTTCCTTTTAATTAGCTACGGGTGTGACAACGATGGCGAGTTCACTATGTTATATTTTCATTTTATTTCAGCAACCTTATCTTCCAGCAGATGATCCGGACAGCAATTTCAACATTATTAAAAAAAAACTACATATGCCAGCAACACTGACTGGGTGTATCCTATGGCTTACCTTCCCTACTAACATAATTCCTAAATTCTCGAGACATTTATGAGGGGTCGTAGAGTTCTCTGCATCTCTCTTAAGTAAATGTTGGACTAACATACCTTTCCTATCCCTACCAGTTACAAGGACGTGGCCAGGACAATCCTTAACTGTTGGAGCGGGATATGTCTTTATCTGGGAGATAGTAATTACTTCCTACTTACTATCTGTCCAGTAATAGATATCCGTCTTGCTCTTAATAGTTTTGAATTCGTACCACCTACGATATTGTGCAACTTGTTCGATGCTAATGCTAATGCTAATGCTAATTTATATGGTATCCCTCAAATGGATTGTTACAGTGTTAAAAAGGGTCCCAAATGAGTAGGCACTAATGTTATCAATGGGGCAATCTTGCTGTTGCTAGGATTTGTAATCAAGACAAGTTTGTTACTTTTATTACTATTCAGATAATTATTTCAACAAGCTACATACAAAACGGAATGGATATCAACAGGCCTGTAATAATCTGTGTTTGTTAAGGTAAGGCCATAGAGGTAACTTTAAGACCAGAAGGTCCCGAAAAACAACAACACAACTCAACATGTGCCTTAGTTGCTACTTAATTTTTGTATTCTTTTGAAAAAGTAGCAAAGTCAAAGTCAGTTTTTGCGGAATAATTATTTGACATCATTTTCTATCAAAATTTCATAAGTAAAAAATCGAATTGTGACAGTATTGCATGGAATCAGTACCAAGCACTGAAATTATCAAACGGTACCTTTATTTATGTTTTTAGGTCAGCATTGTAAGTCC